ATGAAGCTGGTTGTAATTACTGGCGATACGTCGTACTCAGATTGTCAATGTTGTGGCTTGGCTCTCCAACACACCGGTGCGTTGTACTAGTATACTACACTATACACTACAATACTATACACTACACTACTATACACTACACTACTATACACTACACTATACCATACACTACACTACTATACACTACACTATTATACACTACACTATACACTACTATACTATAAATCACACTACTATACACTACACTACTATACATTACACTACTATACACTATACTACTCTACATTACACTACTATACCATACACTACATTATACACTACTATACTATACACTACACTATACACTACTATACACTATACCATACACTACACTATACACTACACTACTATACATTACACTACTATACACTACACTATTATACATTACACTACTATACACTACACAATACACTACACTATACACTCGTGCTGTACTAGTGACGAATTGGCACGTTCTGTTAACGTGACAACCCTTACTAGTTGGCTGTGTCGAGTGGTGGAGGGTTTTAACGACACATTTATATATTTACGCGATCTAACCCAAAAAAACCCTCTGTTATGGACCAGTAGCAATTGTTTAAGCGAACAAACTCTGGATTCGTTTAACCCCTCTGGGTCTCATCAGCAGTCGGGGCCTGCTGGCAAGTGCTGCTGCATCGCCAGATGGGTTCGTGTACATTGCATAGTTAGGTTAGCAGGTAGGTAGGGAGACAGGTAGGCGGGTAGTTAGGTGAGTAGGCGGGCAGGGAGGTTGGTATGAATATAGAAGGTAGGCAGGCAAGTATAAATACAGGCCACCAGTTTGGCAGGTAAGACAGGCAGAGGAGGTAGGCACACTGGCAAATAGGCAGTAAGGTAGATGGGGTATAAATGTCAACTGACAGACAATCCGTTGTGTAGGTATGCACAGAGACAGGCTTGGTAGGCAAACAGGTAAGGTGGTAGACCTATATTGAGGTGGGCGAAGGAAGAAGGCATCTGGGTAGCCACGCATTCAGACAGGTAGCTCAACAGTTGGCGAACATTTATGAAATAGCCACGCGACAGCCCCGTTGGAGCGGTGAAACCCCTTCTGGAGAGGCGCACACGCACAGACACGACGACGACCCACCGCCCACGTGGGACTCACTCACTCTGCCGTCAGACCCCTGTCGCCTCCGTATTTTGACAACGCTAAGCCGCGGGACACACGCACACGGCGAGCAATAGCGCCCACCACCCCCACCACCACCCCCACCCCTCCTCCTAAACGCGTGCGCAGGGACAATTGTATCGGTCTGAAGACCTCTACCCCCTCCTCCCACGTGACCCCACAACCTTCAGAAACACCCCCCTCCCCGCCACTTGCAATACATATACAGACACACACACACACGTGAATTGACTGTTGGGGCACGTGCTGTGTGAGCGAGACGCCGCTTGTGCATGGACAGTCGCCCCGTATAGCCTCAACAGACTGTTGGGGCAAGTGCTGTTAGCGAGCACCTATGAAGGCCGGCACGGCACACGAGGGGGTGTGTGGCCAACACCACGCCCGGCCGCCTTTGTCTCCCTCGTGGCGATGTTTGCACGCCGCACTAGGTACTCATTTGACGCACACACACACACACGCGCACACACACGCGCGCACACACACGCGCACACACGCACGCGCACACACGCACGCACACACACACGCACGCACACACACACGCACACACGCACACACACGCGCACACACACACGCGCACACACACACGCGCACACACGCACGCACACACACACGCACACACGCACACACACACACGCACACACACGCACGCACACACACACGCACACACACGCACGCACACACACACGCGCACACACACACGCGCACACGCACACACACACACGCACACACACGCACACACACACGCACGCGCACACACACGCGCACACACGCGCACACACGTGCACACACACACGTGTACACACGTGCACACGCGCACGCACACACACACGCGCACACACGCGCACACACGTGCACACGCACGCACACACACGTACACGCACACACACGCACGTACACACGCACGTACACACGCACACACAGGGAAACACATTCTGCCGCTTCCAGGTGGTAGCCCTCAGGCTGATAAGAAACGGGGAAATCACCACGACACCCCCGCCCCCACGGGCCACGAGTCGCTGTGGGTCCAGGTCCCAGACCGTCGTGCCACCCACCCCTCAGCTCCCCCCGCTCCCACCACCTCGGGCAGCCTAACGCAGCACACCTGGGGGGGCGGGGGCGAAAAGGGCTTGAGCCACGGCTAATTGAGGCACGCGCGGCTCACGAAAGGTCGCAAACTCCGCAGATCGTGCGTCACAACGCTTGTCGGATCAAGCCCCGTCGCTTTTTCAGGTTCTTATTTTTTTTATTGTTGTGTGTTGTGTGTGTTTGTCAAACAAATGTTCTTGTTCGTGTCTCCTCCCCTGGTACGGTGGGACATTTATTCATTTGAACCCGCTCGTAATGTTTTTTTGTTTTTACGCGGAGAATAATATTTCACTTTGTACCGTCGCCTGTGTCGCGTTGACACGAGACGGTGACAAGTTTCCAATTGGGGCATCTCCGCAGTGAGCTGTGCACACCGGCGAGCGTCACAGGATTGGGTGTCCCCCCAGGAGGTGACGCGAGTCACACGACCTTGCCAATCGCCTCTTGGTCAACTTTAATCGCCTTTTCGTCAATCTACATGCCCTGCACCGAGCGTTCGTCGCATGTCAATCAAACCGAAGTGTCATTTTCAGAACTGGAATTTTATCAAATCAAGTTTAATACCGTAGCTTTTTTTTCCACGCGTAGCCATTGATGACCGGGTTGATACATCAACTCGTTACACTTGAGCACCTGGTTTTACCACGAGTGGCCGAAAGCCCGAATTGAATTCTGGACCTCAGCGGTGTCAGCTGTTCCCTTCACGGTAACCGTGGACGAGCCCCTTGAGCCATCCCTGGAGGAGCCTCAATCCTGAGTCCAACCCTAACCACAAGCCCCTGTTGCAGCAGCAACCGCAGCAGCAGCAGCCACGTAAGCGTGGACGCCCTAATCCCCGAGGACCCTAAATTGTCAGAATGTTGCTGTTGTTGTTGCGACCAGAGATTGATGGCTGCCCTGTCAGTTCGGGCCACTTAGAAATCTGCGGAGGCGCACATGCGGCGTGGCCATTGATGTGGGGCACGCACGTTTCCTTTTAGTGGCGTTCAATTAAATGCTTATAAAAGCACGGCAGATACAAGGTTGAGTCATCCTATACCAGTGAACATTACGTGCTACGATATGTGAATCAGAGAAGTGGATACTAAACAAACACCAATTTAAAAGCTGATCAATTCAGAAAGAAACACGGCGAGGAACAAACGAAACAGAAACTATAAACAGGTTATCGACATCACGGTGAACTATTAAGACCGGAGATCTTGAGCAAGACATGTCACTGATGATGATCGGTGGTCGAGATAAGCGATGGAGTGCCAGCCAAGGCAGAGGGAACACAGCCCAGGGCACGTCCCCCACGGAGACGGAGTGATTACACCAGCTCGTGCACACACAAGGTGGATTGATGCATCGACAGGAAATGTCGGCGGCTTGGGGAGCTCCACATCCAGCAGTGAACAGGTAATGGGGGTGGTGACGATGATGACGATGACCTTAAAAGTATATGTGACAGTGAAATCCGGCAACTTTCAGATTCATCAAGAGGCCAGTCTAATCGAGCAACTGAAAAGCAAACAAAAAACAAATCTGCACGCAAGAGTTGACGCGAAACAAGTTGATTTATTGAAAACATTCTCAGAGGTGGCCTCGCTCTGGTCAGTGACACGCACACCCACGGGTGGGACGCCTCTCTCCCCCCCTCACCTTCGCTGCCCATTGCGCACCGAAGACACCGCAGCCGTGGCTGCGCACGTTCCACAAAGCAGTAGGTGACCTCGTCGTGAAAGAATTTAATAACAATCGACCCCGTAGGTAACCATCGCGAATACGGCTCATTAATGGGATGAGTCAACTGGACGAGGCGAACACCAAGCTGGTAAGTCCGTCATCGCGGTATTTTACGAGCCAACTCTCCCCCTACCCGAGGGGGACGGCACAAGTGGTTATTTATATCCGAGTTAGTCCTCAATAGTTGGTATGCGACACGCAAGTAACAAACAAAAAAAGCCGCTCCGCGATCACGCCAACGACTGCCTGCGTATTTAAAATGTCAGAAGTGTACGTCCGTTATTTGCTCAGCTCGAGAGCTTCCCACGATCGACATTCAGTGATGGTCCACCTGGGGGGGGGGGGGGGTGGTCAGATACCAACCTCAACTACCGGTAACGCCAATGTGAGATGGCAAAAGTGAGCTGTTGAAGTAAAAATACAAATCCTACCAAAAGCAAATAAATAATGACAAGCTAACACGTCGACGCCGTTGCCATGTCGTGAGTTGCGCGGTGGATAGCGGCAGTGTGCTATGGACCTGGCGACCTCATGTTGATTTCCAGCCACGGCTACGAGCAGTGACGAGTGAAATCTGAACGTTTGCTGGGCCTGCTGCCCCTTCAACCAACTCGATGATCGGCGTGATGAAGTATACTCAAACAACCGCTACGACCGATACAGTGTGGAGAGGCCTTCATCCTGCAGTGGAGAGACCATGGCTGATGATGATGTTGGTGGTGACTGGTGGTTACTCCCATCATCACGCTGCACCTTCTCTCTGCTGTGGTGTTGTGGTCAAAGGGCTAAAAAAGTGAGATCAGAGGTCAGAATTGTCAGCCGAGTCGGCAGCATCAACAGAAAGGTCACGCTAACCGCCAGCCCCCCCCCCTCCCCGAGGGCAGGGTGCATAGCGACTCCACCCGCTGGAGATCCGGTGAACCCTCGCAATTTTGGGGTCGCGTTTCAAATTAAGAACATATTCATATTTATCGTTTTATTCGCATTGTTTCCGTTTTGTTCCCCCCCCCCCCCCCGTCTCATTAATACATTTTAGTTTTTTTACGTGAGCAAAATATCTGAATGTAAGTTTCACAAACCTCTAAATAGTGACTGCACGCTAAATGTGTGTTCGCAGCGTGGGCAGAAGAACCGGGTTTAATCAATGGAACCGACGTTTCGTGACATGCCTCGTGAAGGCCATCCCATCCCTAGAGGCAGTAAGGTCCAGGAGCCGTGTTGATTTGGACAATGGTTTGACGTGACCTCTCACAGAACGCCAAACTCTTCACCCTATCAGAGACGAGCGAGACTCCCGTCAATCGTCAATCGCTGTCCCTCGATTTATTTTTCTTCTTCTTTTCCTTCTTCTTCTTCCTCGGCTGCTCGACGTCTCCACTCGGCAGGTCACGCTCTGCGCTCTCCTCGTCGTTTTCTACGGGCTTTGCTCTCTCCACCTCCTCCACCTCCTCCCTCCTCCGTCTCTTCTTGTCCTTCTTCCTCTTTTTCTTCTCGCGCACGCTAACCGCGGCATCCTCCCCTAACTCGGGGCCATCGTCCTCGCCTTCGGGCAGGCTGCAGGGCCCGCGGATCGCCTTCCTCCCCGCCCGGCTCGTCATCCGCCGTCATCCTCTTTCTACCGACCCGGCTCGTCCTGCCCTTCGTCGCTCTGCTGTGCCCGTCCTCCACGGCCGACGCTAGCCGCCGCCGCCGCAGCGCCGCGCCGGGCGTCCGCCATCTTCCTGGCGAAGTACTCCTGCACGGAGAGCGCGCTGGTGGTCGTGCGCAGCCCGTCGTCCGCCTCCGGCTCCACGGGCGGTGGCGACGGAGACTCCGAGACGCACTGCTCTTCCTCGCTCTGCGCACATGGCTGAACGCACACACACACACACCAGTGAACACACGCGCAGCACATGGGTGAGAACAAACACGAGTGAAGACACACACACGTGTGAACACGTGGACCTATGCACATTCAAGTGCAAAAAAGCAAAGATTATTGGGGCCAGGTTCCGTTCACGAGCACCTAAGAAGGGCGGCATGGACAAAGCGAGGAGAAACAATTGCACGTACACGCATGCATACACACACTCACACGTGCGAGGTAGCTGCAGCTTGGATTCAAACCTAGGAGCTCAAGTAGTGCCGACTCTGTCACCTGAGCATCCCCGAGTAGAGGAGGAGTTTACATTTTTGTTTTTACGAAATACAGTGTGGAAGTCAGAAAGTTATCCGCGTGATTTTCACCTTTTCCTCGCATCACGATCAACCCTTACCCGGGCCAATAAAATGTACATCTCGCTCACGTGCATACGGCCACACAGAAAGAACGCTTACAAATGGCCACGGATCGGAACACGGAAACCGCAATCTGGGGAGACCAGGCACAAGTAAAACAACGATTTATTTAGTATACAAAATATTTTTTAATTTTACCAAGTAAGGCCAACTGAGCTAATAGCTCTTTATCAGAAGCGACCTGGCCACAAATGATAGCCCAACAAAGTGGTTTATCATAACGGGGGAACTTATAGCAGCCAAATACTCTAAACGCACGTTTCTAAATGGGAAGGGAAAAACCGGAGGACCCGGACAAAAATCCACGCAACCACGGGGAGAGACACTGCAAACTCCAAATATACAGACGTCACGGTTGGGATCGAATCCACAACCTCCTGTATAACAGCCAAGGTAGGTAACATCTCGCCACCGTGGTGCCCACTAGTAAGGAAAAAAATCACACCCCCCCCCCACTCCCAAAGATGCAACGAATCGTCACGAGGAGTCTGAGTCCTTGGTTATCTTTCGTTATTTGATTGCTGCAGGTGTACAATCGATCATGGTGTAAATTCGTAAAGGTGAGCAGAATACACAATGGTATGAATCTGCAGACTCGACAGGAGTTGTGAATATTATAGAATCCACACGTAGACAATCTATAGTTGCATGAATCTGTAAAATCCAGAGGGGTACACCTAAAGACGCAACAGCGGTGGGAATCTACAGAATCCACAGCGGTGTGAATATATACAATCATGATCAACGTACGACTGCAATCTGCGGAGTCTTCACGCGTTTAATGTTTCCTAGAGACTCAGCACCTCCCACCGTAAATCATCCTCTCTGTCCTCGCCCCCACCCGACCCTAATCGCAGACCGTGCTACACAGCGATCGTCTCGGTTAAAGGTTAAACCCCTTCGCTCGAGACTTCGGTGCCAAGGATGAACCTTTACTGCTTCCCGTGATGTCAGCCAGCGCCCCCAACGGCAAACAACCGTCGCGATCTCTCCGCCGCCGTTTTTGGGCTGCACCGCGCGTTGTTGGGCGCGGCGCTCGATGTTGAGCGCCGCGGGATTCTCTCAAGATGGGAAACGTCGGACAGCATGCCGTACGACGAGCGGCACGACCTGAAAGCGCATCGGAGGAGAGTTTCATGGCATGACCGCGAAAATACGTACACAGCGGGAATTTTTTATCATACATGGGCATCGTCATAATCATCATCATTTGACCATTGATTTATTGAAAGATGTTTATGTTCGCCACGATGCTCCCACTATTTATCCGTCGCGCCACTTTCGCGCCGTGGACCAAACGGATCGCAGGGAGTCGTCTCCGTGCGTACGATGGTGGCGCAAAAGCGAGGCCCTTCAAACTCCATGCCTAACAGTCTTCCGCGCGACAGTTCAATGGCAGCTGATTGTCAGAGAGCCCCAAGGCGAGGGGGGGGGAGATGGGGGTAGGGAGATGGGGGTGGGGAGATGGGGGTGGGGAGATGGGGGTGGGGAGATGGGGGTGGGGAGATGGGGGTGGGGAGATGGGGGTGGGGAGATGGGGGTGGGGAGATTTGGGTGGGGAGATTGGGGTGGGGAGTCGGGAGGGCAGCACCTGACAGAGCTAATTGCGGGCGGCGGGAGGCGAGGCACGCGTCCAGGTGCCCTTCTCGTAGCCCGCGGGGTTGCGCTGGACCCTGGACTCGCGCGGGGACCCCTGCCAGGCCCCGCTAACCCCCACTGACCCACATCACTGCTCACCTGCCGCGGCATGCCTGCCTGCCTGCCTGCCTTGTGCGTTTACAGGTTAAATAAATAAAAAACACTGTTGCAGAGGCTTGTTTACTGCTCAAAGCGAGTAAACAAATATCATTAGGGCCGTTTCACTGCAGCCTACAGGGTTGGCTTGGCCCTGCGGAGGTGTCTTAAGATTTCTCCCTGATAACGCCACTTCGGAGCGAGAGAGGAATATAGAGTTACGAGCTCGAAGCGTGACAACATTCCGCAATCAACGCTTATCAGGCGCCTGGCTTGGCACGCTTGACAGACCGCTCTTGTAAGTATCCTTTATTTGATGAAATACCGGCCCATTGAAACATAAGACGCAATAGCCTCTTTTGCAAGCGCCGACCTGAAAACGACGAAAACCGTCGAGGTTTGTGCCAGGGCCCACATGCGGGTGACAATCGTGTAGTTTGTGGCAGCAGCGGTCGTTACAGGAGAGGTTGTGAGTGGGGATGATTGGCTGTTGGCCTGCGCCCAAGGAGAAGAAATGACAGTTGACAGGCGGCTTCAATAGGCTGGCCGATAACCAGCCCAGCAGGGAGCAAAGTTTAGGATCTAACGCTGGTACACCGTAGCTGCTGATCTCACACATACACACACAGTGTGTCCGGATAACGTGGCTGACCAAATGAAGATCCCAACAAGACGCTACACACAGCTCTGATCGTGCAGCTACGTTCCACGAGGCTGTATGTCCCAGAGGAACGAGTTTGAATCCTAAACGATGGAACGTCGAGCTCAAGAGCGCCACCGTAGCACTGCTCGAGAAATATCACCGTGGCAGTAATCCGCTGCACATTTATAAGGTGCAGCATGGCATGCGCGGTGCACGTTGGCAGCCTGCACTATCGTTACGTTAGCACGTAATATGACGCACTGTGGGAGCCGGAACAACAACTACATCAGGGTGCATTAAGGGAGCGCAGGTACTGCAAATAGGTTACCACATATGGTGCATTGTGGGAGTTGGCCATGAAAGGCAAACGGTGTTGTAGTGCATGACAGTCGGCGTTCGGCGCAAGCGGAGATTAGACGGGGTTTTTGAGGTGAATTGGCAGTTTTATCTTCACAGGAGGAGATATTTAAACCGCGACTCTTCCGTGGATCAATGTCGCGTTGGCAACGGGTGAAACATTTCAGATATTCTTGTGGTTTTATTTGGTTAGCCCCCCCCTCCTCCTCCCCCACTTCGGCCTTTAAACTTGGCCCTGTTTGGCATTCGCTAAGAGAAGCAGGTGCAGCGGTGACCGGATCGCGGCACGAAACACGCGGAACGGAGGGCGTTGCGGCGTTTTAAGCAAATTCTTGCTTAAAACAAAACAAAATCCTCGCTGGGGTTCTGTGCAGAGGCGAGGTTTTCGAGCGAGTGAGCGATGGAGCGAGTGATCCAGCAGCTGGGTTCCGATCGCACGTGCCCCCTCGTTGGTGCCGGTGGGCCAACGGGGGCACCGCTCAGCAGCGTCGCGCACACAGTGCGGCGCGCGTAGCGGCCACGTGGTCTTCGCGTGCCACCGCACTTTGGCCTACGCGATCCCCCCCCCCCCTCCCAACTCAACTGGAACCGTGTCGGCAAATCCCTCGCTACCGTGCGGGGGCAGAGGAGTCAAGTGCACGGAGCTACGGGAGGAGGGGGGGGTGAGGCGGGGGGGGGAAATGGAAGCTATCTCCAAATGCCAAGCGTAGAAGTGGAGCACTCCCCCCTCCTGCCACTTCGGGAACGGCAAATTACACGCTTACACGCGCTCGCTGAGTGACGGCTCTTAAGCCGATCCACGCAACCTTTCTGCCACGAATGCAACACGGTCACGGCAGGGGTTGCACAGCTCCCCGCCTCGATCCCAACACCCCCCCCACCCCCCCACTTACCCCCCCCCCACCCCTGCAATGAGCAGCGTCTGTGATGCAAGCGCCGTACGCGTGTCTCGTGGCAGCTGCGGAAGATTAATTCAGAAAAGACTGCGTCGTGTGGGCACGCACACACGCACGCTCCACGCCCACCGGCCGACAATGTCACAAAGACCGCGGGCTTTAACACAATTACAGTGGTGAGTGTGTAATTTTCAAAATGGGTACGGTTCGAGGAGGAACAGAGGTAGGGGAAGGGGGTTGTGAGTAAACGAGCTAATCGGGGGTTGGAAAAAAAAGCATTCGGTAATAAGCGAGGTTCATTATCTCATTACCAGGATTTTGAGATTCTATTGTGGTTGGACTGAAGTCAAAGGTCAAAGTGTTTCACCACGAGTCAAGGCGGTGCAGAACTAAATTTGAACGAGAATATATTTTGTTTGTGTGCGGTGGCCGGTGACCGGAACAAGTCCATCGACTCGCTGCAGCACTTGAGAGCCGAGCTTCGTCACGGACCGCTGACACGGGGATGGGAACCGTGCCCCGCCGTGGCGCTGGCTCGGCACTCCGACCTCCGAGCCACGCGGCCACACTCTGTGCGCGGTGCTCATTCCACCTGCGCCTCGAGGGGGAGGATGTAAGATAACGATGATGTTGATAACGACGGCAATGAGGATGACAATGTATCATGACGATGATGGTCATGACGATGAATGATGATGACGCCGATGGTTACAATGGTGAGAGCAGTGATTGTGACCAGGACGAAGATAATCGTGACGGCGATTATAATTGCGCTGATGATGCCGACAACGATCGCCACATCCAACGATCGCCATAGTATTCATTCTGATGAATGCATTCGACAACAGCGATGGCCAAGATTGAGAGCTGGTGGGGGCGGCGCTCTTGCTATGAGCGGGCCCAGCGCTCCACCGAATGGGGCACCAACACACAGGTCGCGAA